CCTGGAGTCTCAGCACACGCTGACCGCGGGTGTTCATCGCTATTAGCCATTAGCCATTAGCCGACTAGCCTTCAGCTTCCATTGAGGACACAGTGAAGGTATGATAGAGCGTTTGTGTTTCAAAACGGTCCCTTCTTTTCACCAAGGATACCGCGTCGATTTTGTAGAGCATTACTGTATTTTTTCTCTCGTCCGATCAACTTTACAAGAAGTTTCCATTGCTTATTGCGTTATTTAAGAGCGATGTGTAAACTGGCTGGCTAGCCTGTGAGGGACACTTAAGTTTTCCTAGCATGCCATCTGAATAGAGCCGATAACGTTATATATCCCATGCTGTTCTCTAAAGATTTTAATAGTCTAGTGTATGTCAAAAATTCAGCGCAGTTTCTACTTGTTCTGAAGGACATTATATTTGGGCGATAGATATATTAACAGACTAGCCGCTGGAGACCGCCATTTTTTATTAATTAAGGGAGGGAAATTTGAGCAACATATAAGGAGTTTGAGGCGAGAAACGATTGATATGACTGACTGTTTAAATTTTCTCTGTGTAAAATAACGTTTTGGAATCCCAATACATGTGGATGAGGAATCTTAGTGTTAGCTGTGAGCTAAAGTTACAGAAATCCGAGGAATATTTTAAGATATCTGGACTTCTTAAATACTAATCCAACCAGGATTTGTCAGTAATTTACAGACGAGTGTGAGGTGTGATTTCTTAAGTCAGTTTGACACTTAAGCTTGAGCAACAGAACCTCAGGAGTGACATTTCAGCTGCGAATGCAAACGGCATTCAACTACATATGCTCTCTTTGAGAGCATTCAAGCGTTGAATCGAGTGTCTGCTGTTTTTCTGTATCACATAATGAGCTTTCAGAGAATGATTGTATGTGAAGTAAGGTAAGTAAGGGTTCCCAGATTGAAAAAAACTGATAGTATTCTCAGCTAATTCAGTAGCACATTTTTTTATTAAGTGCAATTAACTGATTGTTTGAGGCACTTTGAGGAACTAGTATCACATGCACTGGTGTCCTCAGAAACGTGCCCTTTCATAGATGAATATGCAGCATGATTGGAAAACTCGCAGAACTGCCAGAATGTAAGTTATGCTTGTGTTGCCAAATGCCAAGTGGGCAAATTTAATGTTTTCACTGCCAGATCATTGGGATGGATGTTTTGCCACTGTCTTTCTACTTTAACAGTGTTTTGAACAAGATCCTGTTTCCTGTCTTTGCTATTTAATTTATTTCGTCATTACAATAATCACTTCAGTTGTCATTATGTCAGTGTTTCCTGCACTCAGGAGATGTACTGCACCGCAGCTCATGGCACAATATTATATTGACAATAAATATGCAAACTTATTGAGTTATTTTTGCTGACAGCATGTAAGAATGGTCATACAGTGCAGTATGCTGTCCTGTTTGTGAACAAATCACTCAACTGGGTAACAAACCAGTATGTAAAGATTGGCAATCAGTGCCAAAACAACGTCCTGTAGTTCATTGTATGACTTTAATATTGCAACTACAGTTGTTGTATGTTCTGCTTATACCTAGTATAACACTAAAGTTTTAATTTTCAATGCATGCTTATCATAGTTAATAATGCTTTTTAAAAACTCAACTGCATTGCTTCATGAAAAATGATCAGAATGCATTTTGCAGAAACGGACTTAACATTAGAAACATAAAAGGAATAGTTTACCTAAGTCATCCAAGATGAAGTTGAGTTTGTTTCTTTCTCAGAACAGATTTGGAGAAAGTCAGCATTACATCTCTTGCTCACCAGTGGATCCTCTGCAATGAATGGGTGCCGTCAGAATGAGCGTTCATACAGCTGATAAAAACATCACAATTATCCACAAGTAATCCACTGAACTCCATCAGTTAACGTCTTGTGAAGTGGAAAGCTGCGTGTTTGTAAGAAACGAATCCAAGGCATTTTAAGTTTAAACCATCACTTCTGGCCAAAATATGAGTCCGTAATGCATAACACTTCCTCCAGTGAAAAGGTCCATCCCCTGTTCTCACACATCACAATCCACCAACATATTTGTTTAGAACGGTTTTGGACCGTTTTCATTTACAAACAGTGAATGAACTATGCATATTTCTCAACTGATTCAGACGAGACAACCTTTTCACTGGAGAAAGCAATATTATGGATAGATGACTCCTATTTTAGCCAAGAACAATGTTTTGAAGTTAAAGATGTTTTGATGGATTTGTTTATTACAAACACACAGTTTGTGGATTACTTACATTACCCATGGATTATTGTGATGTTTTTATCAGCTGTTCTGACGGCAGCCATTCACTGCTAAATTTCTCCAAATCTGTTCCAATAAAGAAACAAATGCATCTACATCTTGGATGGCCTAAGGGTGAGAACATTTTAAGTAAATTTTCATTTTTGGGTGAACTTTCAATTTAAAAACACAAAATTGTATTTCGAATCATACGCACCTACAAGCTACCAACAAGATAAAGCTGAAAACAATGCTTTGAGTGCTCTGGTTCAGTCTTGCTTGCCTGCTGTTACTGACATCTATCTCAGAGCCAAACCGTCCGAATGTGGTGGCATTTAATCTTGACTGAGATGTTAGTACGTAGCCAAGTCACACAATGTCAACATGGCTTCCTGGTGCCGAGAGGGTGCCAGTAACTTTGCCAGCCCCCCCATTGTGCTGCATTGCCCGTGCTGTCTGATGCAGTTTAAGGGAGCGTTTTGTAGTCCCGTAGCCGCCTGGTTGGAGTATTTTTTATTTATTTATTTTCCATAATGCGTTCTTTCACAGTAACGTCTAATGATGTGCGATGAGAGCAGAAACTATTTTGAGTTTTGAACAGTCTATTTATTTTGTCGGCAGATTGATGAAACTTAATTCACTAACCTTTTCCTGTCCACAGACTGACTGCATTTGGAAATGTGGCAGATGCCGAGGCAAGAATCCTAACATGGCGGACAAAAAGGACTTCGGAAAACATCAGTTTGGTTACTTCTGTCCCTATCCATTACTTCATTTCCAGGTGGAAAGAAGGCGACATGTGCACCGTGGGATGAGGTAGTAGGTTGTGTAGTTTTAGGGTCACACCCACACTGGGAGATAACTATACAGCCTACTGTCTTTCTCAAAGTGAAAACGGAGCTGCGTAGTATCATCCTACATTTCCTGATGTTTAATATCAATGATAGCTTTGTCACGGTATGTGTCGGCAAGCTGAAATGTTTTTGATTGTTAAAAGAGACGGCAATGCTTGCGCAGTGTGAGGTAGTAGATTGTATAGTTGTAGGGTAGTGATTTTATCCTGTGTAGAAGATAACTATACAATCTATTGCCTTCCCTGAGGGGCAGAAATACACACCAAATGAGCACCTGATTATTTAAGAAAATGTGATGCATGTGATTTTTAAATCAAGGTTAAATTTTTAAACAAATACAATCAATTATTTGTAAATTTATCTGTGGTTTTCTTTGATGTAAAATATATTTATTATTGCTAGTATTAAAGGGCTCCTGGTTTAATGCCTAAGTTTTGAACAGGCAAAGAAATTAAATATTTTCAGGGTAATGCCGAGTTCACACTGCACGATTTTAGCCCGATTTTTCACTCGCCGACAAGTTTTGCGAAATCGCCGACAAATGCCCGACATCGGAGGCAAATCGGTGCTCGTTCACGCAGTGTGAATTATCAAAGACGCGATCTGAGGAATCGCCGACATGTCGCCGACGCCCGCGAAATATTTGGCATGCTAAATATCTGGAGCTGTCGGCGATTCACAATCACGCTGTGTGACATGATTTCTGACTGAAAACTACATCGGCGATGACCTACAGCCAATGAGAGACCAAGATACAGGGCAGAGGGAAGTTCGGGGAGGAGTTATAGACCAGAATATCAGTATTTTAATAGATATATGAACAATTATATCATACAGAAACAAGCACAGATAGTCACGCAGTGTGAATACAACGGCGATCCGACGTGTTTGAAAATCGTGCAGTGTGAACTCGGCATAAGAGTGAAAGACATCCCAAAACCACCTCAGCATCATGCATTCATCCTGGAGATGGCGCCCTTGGCTGAACTTGACAGGATAATAGAGCAGCATGTCCTCTGTATGAATGATCAGCCTGGTTTAGTATAAGAGTATGTCTTTTATTTTGTATTAAGCATATGCAGGGTTTATTGCCTTATGCTGGATTTATGTTGCTTTCGTTAATTATTATTATTCCTCTATACTTTTATATTCCTGTAAACTTGCCAAACTTTGCGTGCATGAAGGATCTGTATGTAATTGAAGTGTGGTTGATTTTGGGATGGACGGTTGCAATTAAATTGGGAATATTTAAGTTGTCAGCCTCATTGTCTTGAGCTTACATTACATTTCATTATTATTATTTATTTTTAAGTGTGCCAGTAGTTGACAATTTAGGTGAAATGTTTAAAAACATGATTAACTGCTCTAATAATGGGTCTGATGTTTCATATTTAGACATGAATTTTAAAAGTTTGCACAATTCAGATATACTACTTGATTTTACATGATTGACTTTTCTTAAATAAAAACTGACAAATTGACAATTTGATAAAAAAGACTAACGAATTCATTAAGTATTAGAATAGTTTTTTTTTTCTCATTTATAGATTTGTTCGTTATTTTCTAGATAAGTTATGATGGTAACAGCAGATTTGTTGACGTGGAAATATAATATGAGCTGTTAAAGTCATTGCTTACACAAATGTTAGGGACCCTTTTCATGGAATGACCTTTCTGTTATGAACATTTCATCTAACTTGTCGTGCATCTATTGTTATTAATTAACTTATAGAACATAAAGTTTATACGTTTTTGTTTCATTTTTCTGTTTTAATATTTGTTGTACTGCTCTTGGCCACTGAGTGCACAAGGTTCGTTGACATCAATTTTTTGGAAGGTGAAAAGATGAACACATCTCTCACCTCGCAATTAAGGACTTGAGGTGGGCGAGGGGGGAATCTAAAGTCGAACAAGTTTTCTTTTCTCATGGGAGGAGCAAACGGGTGCAGGAAAATAGATAAAAGCTCTGTTTAAGAAGCTGGCGTTACTACGATATTATCTTCACCAAGGAGCGCACAGAGAATACTTTCTTACCTAGATTTATTATGGCATTACAGCTCAGACACATATCGTAGTGACACGTCTGTCGCTTATTACTCGGTTGTCGTATCTCAAATCAGAATTTTTTTTTTGTACCTCCCTACAATACCGTAGGTTACTTCTATGCATTTCTGTTTGGTTGAACGCGTGTGCTCGCGGTGTGTTTTGAAGTCATTAGTCGCGTTATCAACCTGCTACTCGGCTTCAGGAGCGCACAGACGTATAAAAGGAATATCGGAAAGTTTAATTTCCTCCAGAACACACCCTGATAGATTTAACAGATAAAGGATCTGCTGGGAAGTGTGATGTGAATGTAAGTGCGGGTAGTTGTAGTCTGTTCTAGTTCATCGAGACGCGTAAAAGTGATTCAGAAGTCGTACATATGCAGAATAACATTCATCTCCACACGTCCCGAAGGATATCAGCTCAGGTGTTCACTTCAAGTTGTCACGGAGTTTTGCATCCCTCCAAGGACTTGCTTTGCTTGTGATAAAGCCTCGCGTCCACCGGTTAGGCTGCCCATCAGGAGACTACTATCGATAACACTATTAACAAAGTACAGGCTGAACATGAGCAGGAAAACACGCCGCTGGATTTTTCACATTTTCCTCTGTTTGGGGATTATATATTTGAAGATTGGGTAAGTAGGGTAAAATGGAATGTGTTTACCTGTTTTAACCTGTAAAGTATTTACTAGCCTAGTAATAAGTGAAATGCACAGTTCTGCACAAAACGAGTGGATTTTATATACAGGCTATATACACATACACATACCGGAAATGTTAATTTTACTTCACATTTATGGGTCAATGACGTTTTATTTGTTCGGATATATGTAGTTATTTAAAAAAAAAAAAATGCAGATCATACAAAAATTATATTTTGTATTATGAACAAGTTTTCAATTTCCTACCTAATTTCTGGATTTTTTTTCGAGGGGCTTAAATGGAAAAAATATATTTATGTAGTCTACATATTTGGAAAAACAAGTCAGTTTGGCCTAACCAAAAAACAAACAAACAAAGGGCCCATTTAGACTCTCATCATTTTTTTTGTCTTTGAATGAAATGTCATCACAATATTTGTAAAAAAAATGTTTTTACACAAATACATCATTTAAAAAAAAGAAGTTGTGTAGACATGTTTTCAGGGTGTAAAGTAATTTAGTGCTTTTTACTTGAAGGTTAAATTAGATTTTTGTAGAAAAACCAACATCACTACAAAGATGACATTTCCAAGAACTTGGCATGAGATAAAAAAAAAAAAATCCTTTTTATCATCTTGTATTGTCATTGACCCATATATGTCCATCTTTACAGCATGAGATTATCTTTTTTCTTCTTTTTCTGTTGTTTATTGGTGACAAGTCCCTAAGAACAATAATTAAGTTATTTGTTATAATGCATCAATAATAACACATCCATATATCCATATAATAGTTTGCCTCCCAAAGTGCTCTAGTGCTAAGTTTTGTTGTATACTATGAATTACATGTATACTATGAATTATGTTTTAGTCATGGCCCATTCCACTCAAACTGTATTTTAAGTATTCAGTATTTTCTTATATAAACATTCCATTATTTTTCAACTTTACAGGGGTTTTTCCTCAGTGGTTGCGTTGGGAGCGAGTGTTATCTGTAACAAAATTCCTGGTTTGGCCCCTCGTCAAAGGACTATCTGTCAAAGCCGACCTGACGCTATCATTGTCATTGGAGAAGGAGCGCAAATGGGAATCAATGAGTGTCAGTTTCAATTCAAAAATGGAAGGTGGAACTGCTCGGCCCTTGGGGAAAGAACTGTCTTTGGAAAAGAGTTGAAAGTGGGTATGTTACCAAATTATTACATTCATATTGTTACAGCATACAGAATTGAAATGTTGATATTTTGAAACTAGCGTCCTCCTATTGTAGACAGAGTTCCAACAAATAATAAAAGCACAAAGAATGTTATTAGCTAAATCACTTTCTTTCAAGTCCTGGAGTGTCAAAGTCAAATGAAGCTGTTTTTAGACTAAACTTGTGGACCTATAGATTTCTGATTTTTTGCTTAAAGACTGACTGACCGTCTTTGAAATATTTAACAATGAAATCTGAGGTCACTCTTATACACCTGCTAGAACACTCTTGCTTTAATACGTCTTTCATGCAAATAAAAGATTTCCTTCCCAAAAAGAGTGTACAAACATTGTCTTGGAATGACACAACACTGTGTCCCGTTTCCCTCACTTTGACATCTCATTTGAAATGATTTGTCATTGGATGTCAGGCTAATGGTTAGTGTCTCACACGCCACCGCAACAATGTCAGGTAGGTTTCAGCTGCATGCATTCATGGAGCAAGTGCCAACGCGGCTGGATTTATAGCCCTCTCAACAGTCCACCCTCTCAAATTTTTTTTTTCTAGTCGTCCTGTCTTAGATTTGAATGATTTGGCAGTCAGGGTTTTCACTTTACCACGGGTATAAGTTACAGTGGTTGAATAGTAGGACCAAAAGAAAGTACAGTATTGAGAAGAAATTTAACAATATGTCACCTTAGAGAGACAAAGCATAAGTAATTAAGCGAGTTTTTCATTTGGGGTAATGTTATCCATTTTCCTAAGGCAAACTTTGGCCTGTTTAGGGGTCCTTCAGTGCTATTGAGCCTGCAACACTTTGATGAATGGTGGTGTGAAGGACTTTGCTTTAGTTTCAGACCCTGCTAGCAAATAGGAGGTTGCATTATTGCATGGTTTTTCCTGTGGCTGCAGGGAATTTCGATGCTCAAATATCCAAACTCTTCCGGAAAAAAAGCCAAGATAATATTATCTGAAATTTCTCCTCTTTCCTTTTGCCGCGCACTCTTAGGATCCAGTCAGTGTTGCGATGGTGTGGTTGAGGCCCAGGGGAGAAGCTTAGATCTGTAGAGACTTGTATCTATCGCTGAAGGTGAAGTGGTATTTTATCCCTCTGCATCAAAGACAAGCGCCTCCTGAAAAAAAAGTCTCTTTCCATCTCATTCTAGAACTGCACACACTTAGCCATTTTGACTTGAATGGCATCCTGGATTTGTTGTGGGTGCTGATTATATTATTTAATGCTGTCTGCTTGGACAGCTGCTATGGGTCTTGTGTTGTGTGGCCTCTCATCTAAGCGCTGCAGAGCTGACGCTGACCTAGAGTGACAGGCCATGGTCTCCATTTCTGAAGCGGCCCAACTGCTTTATTTATCCAGAATTTTTTTGTCTATGGTCGGTATAGGGAGGATTAAATAAAGTGGACAACCATTCAAACGTGATTGGTTTCAGTGGGCGTATGACCAGTCATGCTTATAGTAGCAAAAGCTAGATGAAAAGAGGTAGTTAATCCTGTGGGGAGGGGCTTGCGTACTCAAAAAAAAAAAAAAAAAGTTGTTGAGTAATGTGCAGTAATTTTCAGGGCCTGATACCAAGTTCCACATTTGGCACACACGGCAATGGATTCCACTTTTAGGTGCACTTTTGCACATTTTGCCATCTCCACTACCCATGGACCCATTGACCTTTTTATCGTACATGTGAATGAAGTTACGACTGAAATATAGCCTGCTTGAAATCAGCAGTTGGACACATATGCGAAAGGCATACCATCTTTGTGCTTGTGTTACTTTATGTTGCTTGAGTGCAACTCTCCTAAATCTTCTCTGACTTAACCACCCTCCGGTATGCTCAAAAATAGTTTTCCTCTAACAACATTAATGCCTCAAGTCCAGAGAAGTACATTGTATGAGGTTTATAAATTAACCTCTTGCGTTTACAGTTTTGGCAAGAGACATCTCGCACAGAATCATGCAACGCCACTGATTCAGATTTCTCTTGAAAATAAATGACACTCATGTCATAACACACGTTTGTTTTATGGAAGTCTTATCTTGTGTTCAGAATATCTTGATTTAAGTAAACATAGATCGAGTGATATACAAAGACAAGGAGCATTCTACTCTAGTATTGATGAGAATTTTAAGATTTTGCGTCAATGCAGTCTTCATTTTCCTTTCTTCAGGATACATCCCTTTTCCTCTGGTGACAAGCCCAAACAACTCATAAAAATCTCCACATAATTGATGCCCCAAACTGGCCTTTCTTAAATTGCATGGGAAGAGTTCCAAGATGTTTATCATCAGCAGGTCAACACATACCAATGTTAGTGAGTTGCCGTTCTTGATCGCTTGAAGGTGAAAATTCCTGCATTGCTGAGCTGGCCTGTTAACAGTCTGACATATTTGTGTGTTTTTCACATCTTGCCATGAAATTATATAAGATAGCAAAGATATTAATTGTAATAACTATGACATCACTCTTTATGAGGCCTAAAGAGGTTAACTTTTTTAAGTGTTCCTTTGGTTCAGCTGTGTAAATGATTCTTCGGAAAATCAATACATGATGACTCATTAATCGAGAAAAGGATATGTACATCTCCAGGAATGTTAACATAACTGAGCAACAGTGAATGCATCTTAATTTTTTATTTTTTATTTTTTTTGCTTAGGGAATTTTAGTTTTTATATTTGGTGAACGCTTTTTATCCAAAGGGACTTACATTGCATTCAATTTAATTCCAGTGCTTTATTAGCACTGGGGGAAAAAAAATTTAAATAATAAAAAAAGTGACAAAGAAAATATCAAAATAATAATAAGGAAAAAGAAGAAAAAAAAAGAAGTGTGAAAATTGGAAGCTTGGAACTTAAAAGTTCTTTGTTGCTTGATGTCACCTTACAAAAAAGTTCCTGAAATAGTTCTTTGCAGAACTTTCAGACCTGTCTTTGTCCTTATAAATGAAATACACAGTTAACCTGGAAGTGCCCTGTTTAACAGTGGCAATCAATTATAGCAGTACTCTGGCCAGGGAGGCACTGCATGCCTGAGGAGTTCATCTCCACAGGGTGGATCCCTCGTTCTGACGGAAGCTGGGACAGTGGCCAGGCTAGAGTCTAAACACATACCCTCTATCTACCATTCTATTGTCTCTGAAATAAACCCTTGTCCTTTGTGCTTATTAAAGAGATGGACCGTTCCTTCCTTTGCTCATCTGTGTGCAAACAGTTATTTGTCTTTCTGTTTCCTCTCTGTGACAACTGAAGGACAATTATTTGTGTGTTGAGTAATCACAGGTATGTGATCCGAGTTTGTTTTGCCAATGTTGGGTTTTAGATCATTTTTATACCATGTTTTTCTCAGTAAGCCCCCACACCATCTACCGGAGGCCATGTTGTTAATTATTATGAAGTGTGCATGATAAATGAACTGTACTTGACTCAACTAACACATTTGATTATTGCTATGAGTGTCAAGATATGTCAGGTATGTAGGGGGTTTAAAACTGCCCATAACTGGATCTTGTTGTCGGCAATCTTGACGGAGTATGTTCTTTTGGATCCAGGAAGTAAGGAAGCAGCCTTCACCTACGCCATTATTGCTGCCGGGGTCGCCCATGCCATCACGGCAGCCTGCACTCAGGGTACGCTGAGCGGCTGTGGTTGTGACAAGGAGAAGCAGGGCTTCTACAACCAAGAGGAGGGCTGGAAGTGGGGAGGATGCTCAGCTGATATTCGCTATGGTCTGAGCTTCTCAAAGGTGTTCATAGACGCACGGGAGATCAGGCAGAACGCCAGGACACTCATGAACCTCCATAACAATGAAGTAGGACGCAAGGTATGTGGCACAGTTTGCATGTTTAATTAAGAAGATTGCTGTATAATAATACCATGTCAAGCATAAAAACATCACTAGGCCAAGGTTGTCCAATCCTGCTCCTGAACGGCAACTTTCCTGCAGGGTTTAGCTCCAACACACCTGCTTGGAAGTTTCGAGTGATCCTGAAAACATTGGTTATCTGGTCCAGGTGTGTTTGATTGGGACTAGAGCTAAACTCAGCTGGAACGCGGCCCTCCAGGAGCAGGATTGGACACCCCTGTGATAGGCCTTTCTTGTAAGTCCTACAGCAGGGGTTCTCAAATCTGTCCCTCGAGGTCCATTTTCCTGATTAGTTTAGATACAACCCTTAGAAACACACCTGAAAAAGCTAATCAAGGTCTTCAGGATTACTAGAAAGGTACAGGCAGGTGAGTTTGATCAAGGTTGGGGCTAAACTTTTGCAGGAAAGTGGACCTCAAGGGCCAAGGTTGAGAACCCCTGCCCTACAGGGCTGTTACTTTAATTTGCTTTGCTTTGGAGTGGGGAGTAGATTAGCAATAACAAGATGTAGCAATGCAATTTTGGTTTTGGCATGCACATGACCAGCAATTTGTGATTATAGCAAAACTAATTTTCATAATTCCAAATGTAATAATTTAAAAGCAACAGTGATTCACTATTGCACTTGGGATCAGTGGTTAAGACAATCAAGATACATTTGGATTTTATAGTCAGAGAAGTCAAAATGATTTGTTGTGTAATTGTAAAAATAACATCAAAATGCATACCCTGAATGCCCAGGCAGTTTGACTGACCCTCATATGCTTTTCGTCATTCAGTGCCAATCTGGAGAGTGTGATGTTTCAGCACTCTGGACAGAGCTTCTTTTTGGGCTTTAAAAACCTAAGCCTGACCAGTAAACTTTTGTAACATTTTTATCATGAAACAACTCTTATGGTATCTGGTGCCTCACATGCATTAAGCCTCTATTTACAGCAAGTACATTCAGTCCTATGACTTATCAGTTCACAAATTCATTGTGAGTTCACAGATGCAATTTTGCACTTTTCATTGAGCAGTTCTCAACTAAGGTCATGCCATTGACATGCCACACACATGATTGTGATTGGTTAATGGATTGCAATACAGCACCTCAGTGAAAATGCAAGGGGTGTGGCCTCTCTTAAGAAGCATGGATCTTCCCTTTGTAAACTTGTCCTGAGACTTGCTGTTTATCAGGAATCAGCAGCATGAACACACTAAGCCTGATATGCATCCTAGATTGCAGACAATTGCCAAAAAAGACTCCTGAAAGTCTGAGAAGGAGGAAAAAATAATTAAAACGCAAGGCAAAGCCTCTCCCACCCACAGCAAAAGTGAAAAAAGAGTTAAAGGAAGAAAAAGAGAAGGAGAGAAAAGACACATTAACCAACCACACCAAAGACTACACTGCCTCGAACAGGCAATCCACTGATGCCAATCAGATCTCTTCCATATCTAAACAGGCACTCTGCTTCACTGAGTTCTGCTTACGTTTGCCCATTCATTCATCTATTCTGAGCTAACCAATGCTTTTTCTATGCATTTTTTTGGTGCATTTCTAAGCCTTAATGTTTAGCATTAGTTTGCATGAAAAATAACTACAGGACAAGAAAGGATACAGCATCCCTCAGTTACACTACTGCTCAAAATGTTTTTACCTGTGGGGTTTGACGTGTATAGGTATAACAAGGTGAAGCACACAGGCACCTGAAACCTGACTCCTGAGCTTTATCTGTGCACACTACACACAGGCTGATTGTTGTAGGAACTCTGCGATCATCATTCAGTCAGTGTTTATATCATATCCTGTGCAGATTCCGCTCTATTGCTTACACAAGACAAGAGACTCCTACAGGCAACCTCTGATAGTTTGCCCCTTGCAACAATTTGTAGCGTGTGTTGTGTACACAAATGAAACCGTTTCCTACAAGTAGTCAGAAAGCCTGTGAACACAAGCTGTGTTTTGCAGGCCCGCTCTCTACACAGCGAGAGGAATTCGGTAGTTTAGCACTGCAAGTTTAACAATCCTTGCATTCTTCAAATTGGAATGTTAAAAAAAACCTTTGTCTCAACCTGTTAAACCATTCCCAGAAATGTGCTTTAAAATACCCAACTGTATACCACTGAGGGTGATTTCACTAATCCCTACTGTATTGTTAGTCTATCTAGATCTTGGTTTGCTGGACTATGCCTTATATTAGGTGATGTGAATATATGCAAAACATGGTTTATGACCAAAACTACTACATACCTTTTTGTAAACAAGATTTTTCCTTCCTCATACATTCTCCGCTTAGCATCAGTAATTCTATCTTTTGTAATGGATGATCGCACACTTCAAATTTGCCACCAGTCAGACTAACTAAATCAACAATGAGTCATCAAACAGTCTACTTTCATAATTACCTTAGGCTAAGATTCCTAAAAGGAACCTAGGTGCCTAAATATTCCCAAAGGTATTGACTTGTTTATTTTTCCTCCCACGTTAGGTCTTGGAAAAGAACATGCGTTTAGAGTGTAAATGTCATGGTGTATCTGGATCCTGCACTACCAAGACTTGCTGGACTACTCTCCCAAAATTCCGGCAGTTGGGTTACATCCTCAAGGAGAAGTATAACCATGCTGTACACGTGGAACCGGTCCGAGCTAGTCGAAACAAGAGACCTACCTTTTTGAAGGTTAAAAAGCCTTACTCATACCGGAAGCCCGTGGACACGGATTTAGTGTACATTGAGAAGTCACCCAACTATTGCGAGGCAGATCCCGTGACGGGTAGCATGGGAACCCAGGGCAGGATCTGCAACAAGACTGCGCAGCAGGCCAATGGCTGCGACCTCATGTGCTGTGGCCGAGGATATAACACACACCAGTACTCACGCGTGTGGCAGTGCAACTGCAAGTTTCTTTGGTGTTGCTACGTCAAGTGCAACACCTGTAGTGAACGGACAGAAGTGTACACATGCAAGTGAAATATTTATTGCTGGGGAATTGATACACACCTGTGACTTGTGTGGTAGAGAGTCTACAAGTGTCGCAACAGGATGACCACTGCTATGGATGCCAGGTAGAGGAAAGAGCCATTTGCACTGGAAATCGTGGGTCTGGTGGAGTCTAGACGGATTAATTGCATGCATTGCATGCAGATTTGCTCCAGAGTTCTGCTGAGGGATTCTGTGTTGGTACCAGTAGACACCTTTCTGTTCCAGTACTGAGCAACAGAGCGAAGTAGCCTGCAAAGGCTTGATCTGTAGGCCGTTAGAAAGATGTCGGGTGTGATTATTGAGGGTGTTCTGCTCTGTAGAAAGCACGGAAAGTATTTCTGAGGAACTTTTTAGCTTGAGTGAGTGACATTACGAATCTTGCAACAAACTGTACATGGACACAACAATGATATTTAACATTTTATTTAGAGAAAATGGCTAATGTTAATTTATTTAATAAGGAAACTACTGATTTCTCATTGTGTTTACTAGCTTAGATTTAGCTCTTCTCTTGTTTAATATTGTGTGTTTTACATAGAAATAAACTGACCAACTTTTACACTGTACATCATGAATGAGCCAACAACAATGCACAATACAAAAACAAGTGCACTGCACTCAAGGTGTAATTACTAGTCTCTGAAAGAGGAGACTCTACTGTCTTTAATTTATCATTGTAAAGTTTTTGCTTCCATTTTCCCATCTTGTTAAGTGTCAACCCTTGCACATATATTCCTATGTACAAGTACACACTGGAATTGTGCATCATGTTTGAAGGCTCATTCCTTCCAAAGTGAATAAACAAGTATTAACTCTTTTTATAACATTGGTCCACAAGAACATTTGTTACTGAACTCTCTTTAAATTGGAATAGTCCAATTAAAATAAGTGTATTTAAATGAGATCTAAAGTCTACCCAAATAAACTTTGAGACCTCACTTGACACAAAGCCTTATGCTAATGACAAGCTTTCCTCGCTTTTGGCTAATATTTGCTTTGTTGGCAGAGAAAGAGAATCAGCAATTAATTCACTTTTCGAATGGAATAGCTTCAGTACAGATGCCCCACCTGTTACTGATGTAGAATGTTGAGATCAGATAACCAGTTCTATTAATGTTATATATTATAGGTAATATAACACTGTTATGCTGCTAGTTTTGTTCTGTTCTGCAACTATAGTTAATATTACCCTTTTGAAAATGAACCATGGTTTTATTGTAGTAAAGGTGTAGTAACCATGTTTTTTTGGTGTATTGATTACCATTTGTATAACCACATTTTTACTACAAATACCATGGTTAAACTATGGTTAGTGTAGCAAAACCATGGTTAATTTGTGGTAACCATGTTTTTTTGGTTTTATTTGTAGTAAAACCGGGGTTCATTTTCGTAAGGGTAGTAGTATTTTGTGTGTTATGAGCAAATGTGGTTGTCCAGACAGACTGTCCCTGTGTTGACATATATTTTGTAAGAGATTATTTTTATATTTTATTTATTCTGTGTAAAGGAAAAACCCACTACCAGTGTCCTTTAGATGGACAGAAATTAGAGATATAAGCTATAAACAGTGTGATGTGTCATGGTACCAGTATGTAATGATGAAAAGACGATCATACTGGTGTTCAAATATTACACTTTCAAACATAGCATTTTTATGACAAAGGTCCTGGATGTGGGATCAATAAGGGAAACTATAGTTAAATAATCCTGGGACAAAACTCTCTGGTACTGAGAAAAATTCACGACTGAGGGTTTTTACCAAAGAACATCTGAATTTGTGTGTGGCTCTTTGTCAAGAGCTTAAAAGCAGGATGGCCTTGATGTAATTACCATTTTACAAAAATCTGTGATTTCAACAGATGTTTTTCCAAATTGATTGTACTTCATGATTGTGTCATCATAAATGATAAAAAAATGTTATGGATTATGCTTTCAACAGTGTTAATAAATATTTCCTTGGCTTGTACTGGCTTGTTTTTCAAAAGGGACACAACAGTTTTCAAGGCATATTTTTATAGGGTTAACTCTAGTTAGTCAAATCAAAACTGACCTAAACTAAATAACCTGTTAGTCTGAATCATCACATTTCCCATATCATCGCTCAGCCTTACATCTTACAACCAAACAGAGTCATCACTAGCTTGACAGTCCCTCAAATTAGTAAAGCAGTAACAAGTGGCAAAACATATATTGCTGTAAAGTTATGCTTGACTACTGGTTCTGACAGATTTTACTACATGGATGACCGCAGGGGGCAGGGAGGAAGCTTAACAAAAGTTCTTGCATGTTAATGGTAGGGCTGGTGTAGGGCTTTAATTGATGAGTAGCAGTAAGGAGGGTGTCTCAGCAATGGGCAGATAGAAGGGGGGGAGGGGTGATGGATTACTCTGACATCTGCTTCATTCACTTCCCAATGCCGTCACCACAACAACGCCACTGTGGCCCCCAAAAATGCTGTCCAGTCTCCCTGAGAAGCAGGCCTGCCCATTAGCGAAATGTTAACTATGCAAAATCCAGCTAACTTTTGGATGCTATTTATTTTGTCCCCACCTAAAGGCGAAAGGGATGGCAAAAAGAGAGGCTTTGCCATTGTGAAGGATGATGTCAAGAGGAATTTCAATCCAAAAGTTAGAAAAGATCTTAGCATCACTCTTTTAATAATCGCCACAAAACGCTCCTTTGAGAATCGGATGAAAACTCATCAATAGGCAGCAGCGTGAAAAGGCAGCTGGCCAAACAGCCTTGGTTAAAGTAACATCAACACCCATCCACCATGAGCTGAATCACAATATTGTGTGGTTTTGAAAAACCTTTTGGATGTTGCTCTCTTTGGCTCAGGCTCCTGCTTCTTTTCCACATTCTGAATGGCATGACGTTGGAGAGCTTAACACTTGTAGATGGAGGAGACAAGAAGTGTTAGAAGAACAATTAAGGGGAGACAAATTCCACATCTAGCTGCCTCTGTTCGTTATGCCTTCACTTTCCCTTCACAATGAAGCCATTTAGTTAACAGAAACTCTCTGTGAAAACTTTCGTCTCAGAGTTGAGTTTTCTTGTCAACGTGCCAATGTGTCTCCCCCATTATGTTATCATGCCTGCTTAATTTTAGATGTGCAGGGATCAAAATATCAACTTCTACACAATGCATTCTTGCTGCAGTTGAGTGTGTTAGCCACCTGTTAGGGTTGCATTGCAAGAAACTGTAAGCCAGGTGTTCAGCGTGATGGAAGAACATTGACTATATACTTCATCCTCACTCTGACTGTTATTGGGTTTAATATCACACTGTCTGCCAGCAACTGTTAATGCCAAGAGGCTATCATTGAAAGGCTAATTAAGATTCCTGCAATGTTTTTCTATAAACTGTGCTGTTTCACTGCCAAACCATTCATCGTTTAACGTCAACGCCTGTCTAGCAGGGTGATGGTTGTGAACGGAGTCTTCCTCAGCTAACATGTGCTTTTACGGGCCACTTTGGGCACACCTGTACACACCTGGAATTCAACAGAAGCCTTTGATTTATAGCTTCCAGCTCATCTACGTGAAGCTACTGCTGGATAGGGGTTGAACGACTTCAGATTTTTTAAAGTTGACATTTATGTAATGAAAGTCGAGTCGATGTCGACTAGTCGCAGATGACATCATTAATGAACAAATAAGCCTGAACCTTGAGCTGTGACTCAAAAACATTGTTCACAGCTATGGCATATGGCTACTGCCCCTATTACAGCTAATTTTTATCAGTTTTTTAGTCTTTGGGTCATTATAGTTCTCACAGATTTCTGCTCGTTCTAAATCAGATACAGATAAAGTAGCACAGTAAAGAATGCATTTATATAAATGCATTAGTGAGAGAGCGATTGCATATGTGAATTAATTCTACCTGGCAGCGTCTCTCTAATAGTGAAGCTGTGGGTTTTAGTTACTATATGCTAGAACATTTTGGTTTCTAAGCTAATTTATTGAGAAATCACAGAACAGTGCTGACAATACATTTCCGTGCTACTGAATGATTCTGAATGATATACGAGCTACTGTCTGTAGTCTATGTGTGTGTGTTACAATGCAGCAGGGCATTAGATTAGAACGGCGATACCTGTACTATAAGCTGTTTAAAACATGCATTCTCCTGTTCAGTTTCGACCATCCAGACGGTTTAATCACACATGTCTTGTAGAGTGCTTTCAGAGTATGCATTTATTTGTCATTTTAACAGTTTGGAAAAGGAGCGTAAATCTTAAAAAATATTTCTCATCCTGTTGCACCCTCTATAGGACCAGCGACTAGTCGACATTAAGCTGAAAGAGCTATTCTATTCTATTCTGTGCAACCCCTGCTACAGGGAACGGGCCATAGAATACTGGCAGTGTCCTCACGAAATTTCCTGGCCTAGTAACTACGTAAATTTCAAATGTCATGATGACCATTGTGCCATATCTAATCTTTAACCCTATAAAGCTTCCTGTATTTAATATGTAAAATTATAAGGCCACTAAATTATCACGTTTGCTGAAAACCTGTTGTATACAATCTATTACACACCTTCTGTCATCTGATTGGTACTAGTTTATACTTTTAGCAAGTAAATAGCCTTTAAGTATTACACCAAAAATAATTCAGAATTCTAATGGTACATGTGTCTTTTTTGCTGTGATCTCTACTGATTTTTTTATAAAGTATAAGAATAAATGTTATATTGTTAGCAATGTTTCATGATGACACTTACTGGACTGAAGCAACTTAGGTTTACTTGATTTTCCATACATCATGTTTTAGAAAAATCACGTTAAAATATAAAAAATACGATGGATTAGGCTTTTGAGGAATGTTTATTTTATCTCATTGTATTCCTCTGCATTATAAGTTTTTCCCCACAATAAAAACTAGAGCGCTGATCATAAAACTACACTGTAAAAAATTTAAGCCAGCACAAAAAAAAAAAAAAATCTTAGAACTAATTTACCCTATTTTTTCTTGTCTACTCAAACAAACAAACAAAAAAAAAACAGTTATACTAATTGAACAGAGGTCATCAGTCATACAAAAAAATGTTTAGTTGAGTTAACTTAAGATTGTTCGTTTTCTGAGAGGTGCAACAATTCTAAAACAAACCTTTTTAAGTTGCGCCAACTCAACATTTTTTTATATATATCTGACATTTTATTCAACTTCTGAATATCTGAAGTTGAATTAACAAAACAATGCTACTGGAAATTGGTACTAATAAATAAGTTATGACTGAAAACTGCAATGACAATGACTAAACAGTAGCATGTATATGAGGAACACCAACTTTCAAAATCTGAAGGATGGTCTATAAAATAGAAGTGCACCTATCTGCAAAACACTCAAATGTGTGACACTGAAGTTTAGTCATCTCTTTGTTGTCTGTGACAGGTCATCCTCCATGACTTCAAGGATGCCCAGTTTCACTCCTCTTTCACTCCTAAATTAGTGTCCTAAGAAAAAATTATATAAATTTAATGAAAACTGGTTGAGCAAGAGTGTAAATAAAAATCAAAGCTCAAATACACTCTTTCAAATAAATCATGGTGCATTATGGGCCAACCTGATATAAACACTTGATGAAAA